AAAAAAAAAAAAAAAATCCCAACTCTGCCACATACTAGTTATATGACTGTGCAGATCAATTAGCAGGTTGGGCCTTGGTTGCCTCACTTGTATAATGGGGATTAAAAGTCTCTGCCTCTCAGAGTTGTGAGGACACAGGATGCATCACTGTTAGTGAATAGTAAGCACTCACTAGAGTGAGTAACTGGTTTTGTTGACTATTGGAATTGGTGAAGGAGTTTGCAGCTGGCTGGGAAATAGATTAGCAGTGACCAGGCAGCCGTCTCCTGCTGGTATGGGAAGAGATGGGTATCTTGTCATGGTGCCTCGGAGTTGGTGGAGTTGGAGGGGTAATGGGGGAGACAGGGCCTCAGCTGGGGCTCTTGCCTGGAGCCCAGAAAGCTGGGTGGGAAGGAATGAGGGAAAAACAGTGTGAGCCTCAGATAATTTATTGCATAACACCTATTCCCTCATACTGTCAGTGAGGATTAAAACTAATAACATAAGCCAGGCGCGGTGGCTCACGCCTGTAATCCCTGCACTTTGGGAGGCCGAGGCGGGTGGATCACGAGGTCAGGAGATCGAGACCATCCTGGCTAACACAGTGAAACCCCATCTCTACTAAAAATCCAAAAAAGTAGCCAGGCATGGTGGTGCGTGCCTGTAGTCCCAGCTACTCGGAGGCTGAGGCAGGAGAATGGCGTGAACCCAGGAGGCAGAGCTTGCAGTGAGCCGAGATGGTGCCACTGCACTCTAGCCTGGGCGACGGAGTGAGACTCCATCTCGAAAAAAAAAAAGAAAAGAATGAAAAACGTTTCCTTAGATGAAGCTTCCCACAGATGCTGACCCTGCTTCCTAAGCCCAAGTTGGTAGCTGTGTTCCCATTGATCTCCTCAGTACCTGGATGGTAGCAGCAGATGGCACCAGGACTCAATATACAGAAACTTCTGTTTGGGAGACCAGGAGGCTTCATCAGACCAACAGGGAGTGCTGTTTGCTGGCATGTGGATAGTGCCAGGCACTTTGCTGACATTCCCTACTAGCTTGGCTTATTATCCCTGTTTTACAGATATCAAAACTGAGGCTGAGCCAGGCATAGTGGTAGGTACCTGTAATCCCAGCTACTTGGGAGACTGAGGCAAAAGGATGTCTTGAACTCAGGAGTTTGAATCCAGCCTGGGCAACATAGCAAGACCCTATCTCTTAAAAAGTAAAAATTGGCCAGGCACAGTGACTCACGCCTGTAATCCCAGCACTTTGGGAGCCCGAGGCGGGCAGATCACGAGGTCAGGAGATTGAGACCATCCTGGCTAACACGGTGAAACCCCGTCCCTACTAAAAATACAAAAAATTAGCCGGGCATTGTGGCGGGAGCCTGTAGTCCCAGTTACTGGGGAGGCTGAGGCAGGAGAATGGCGTGAACCTGGGAGGCGGAGCTTGCAGTGAGCCGAGATCGTACCACTGCACTCCAGCAATAAAAATAAATAAAAATTAAGAAAAAGGGACTTAAAGGAACTAACTAGACCCTTAATTCCCTAGCAGCAAGCGGACTTGGGGGGAAACAAAACAAAACAAAAAAACCTGAGGCTGAGAGAGGTTGGCTGGCTTGTCCATGGTTGTCTGCTGGGGAAGCAAGCCCTCCCTTCCCATCCTCATCTGACTGACTCTCAGGCCTGTCTCTCAATGGCCCCACATGTGTATATGTCAAATCGTGTGGCTCCCTTCCTTCACTTCGATGTCTTTTACAGGGTTCCTACAATAGTCATATGTTAAAAGCACAAATTTGGGGTAGCTTGTTCCCAGTAGGAATCTTCACAACAAAGCATCCCACTACAGCCCATACTTACGTCCTTCCCCTTGGTCAGTCCCATGTGCCCAGCACTGGCACCCTCTGTGAACAGACCTTGGGTTGGGCATAGTCACCCAGAGATAAAGCAGAAAGGAGAGGGAGGCAGACATGGAAACAAATCGGTGCGTTTGGTGTCTCAATAAGTGCTGCAAGCTTGTTCTTAGCTTTTCCAACACACCCTGCTCCATTCTGCCCCTTCGCATATACTCTTCTCTGCCAAGATCTCTCCTCCTCGCTTTGCTGACTCCAGCTTATCCTTCGGATCTCAGCTTGGTTGTTACTTCTTCAGCAAGCCCTCCCCATGTAGGTTAACCATCTCTGCTGTGCTGCCCCAGACATAGTATTTATTCTCTACTGTAGTTGCCTAACTATTTGTCTGTCTGCCCTGCTAGAGGGTAAGCGCCACAGAGGCAGGGATCATGGCTATTTTCTCACTATTATATCATGAGTATCTGGAACAGGGCCTGGCACATAGAAATAACTCAAACACACGTGAATGAAGAAGTCAGTTGAACAAGGGAGAGGGCCACATATTGAGCTGATGGCACAGATGTGCAATCTGACCTCTCTCCTCTCTTGTGTTGGTCTTTCAGTTGTGGTCGCCAGGACCCCCCCAGAGCCAAGACCTTCTCCAGAAGGTGACCCTTCCCCCCCACCACCACCGATGTCAGCCGTGGTCCCTGACACTCCCCCGGACACCCCACCTGCCATGAAGAATGCCACTAGCTCTAAGCAGCTCCCACTGGAACCAGAGAGCCTCTCAGGGCAGGTCGGGCCTAGGCCAGCCCCCGTGCAGGAAGAGTCCCCTTCCTCTGAAGCAAAGAGCAGAGGACCCACCCCACCAGCCACGGGCCCACGGGATGCCAGACCTCCTCGAAGGAGCAGCCAGCCATCTCCAACAGCAGTGCCAGCCTCTGACAGCCCTCCCACCAAGCAAGGTGTGTGTAATGATCCCGGCCTGGGCCTAAACCCCTTGGCTCAGGGTCCTGGCCCTGGATCATGCCAACTGAAAGAGTCCTGTTTGCCCTAGAGGAGATGAGGAAAGGATGGGGTGAGGCCCGGAGGGAGGGATCTGAGGCTGACTCCTCTTTGGGGACAGCCTTTTGACCTGTCTGTTCTTGTTCCCTCTGCTCAGAGGTGAAGAAGGCAGGAGAGAGACACAAGCTGGCAAAGGAGCGGCGAGAAGAGCGGGCCAAGTACCTGGGTGAGTGAGCAGGAAGTCTCATCATCTTCTTCATCATCATGATCAGCATCCTAATAATAACACCAACAGGCTGGGCGCAGCGGCTCACGCCTGTAATCCCAGCACTTTGGGAGGCCGAGGCGGGCGAATCACCTGAGGTCGGGAGTCTGAGACCAGCCTGACCAAGCGTGAAGAAACCCCGTCTCTACTAAAAATACAAAAAATTAGCCGGGCATGGTGGCACATCCCTGTAATCCCAGCTACTCAGCAGGCTGAGATAGAAGAATCACTTGAACCTGGGAGGCGGAGGTTGTGGTGAGCCGAGATTGCGCCAATGCACTCCAGCCTGGGCAACAAGAGCGAAACTCCGTCTCAAAAAAATAATAATAATAATAACACCAACACTTCTGCAACACTTAATTATGTGCACTGTGCTAAGAGCAGGACACGCATTATCTAATTTAATCCTCAACCCATTTTGAGGAGGAAACAGAGGCTCAGACAGATGAAATCATTTGCTTAAGCCACACAGCTAGTACAGTAGCTGAGATTCAGACCCAGAAGCCTCCTGTCACCCCAGATCTCATGCATGCTCTTAATCACAGTATGTGGACCTCTGTCTGGTAGCCCCCCAAGTCAGATGGGGATCTTGCACTAAAGCATTCATTTCTCCTTCAATCCTGAGAGCCCATAAGGCCAATGGAGGAGAAATAGGCCTCTCCTGAGTCCTGTCTTCAGTAAGCCTCTCAGTTTGAGGGGGTTGTCTCAGACTGAAAGCTCCACCTAAGCAGGCAGGAGAAAAACCCACCCAGGATGTGGGTAGCAGGGCTGGCCACTTGGAGGAAATGTCCTTGGCCCAGGCCTGCTGCAGAACCCTTCACATGCCACTGGGCTCCTTTGTCCACAGCGGCCAAGAAGGCAGTGTGGCTGGAGAAGGAGGAGAAGGCCAAGGCGCTGCGGGAGAAGCAGCTCCAGGAGCGCCGGCGCCGGCTGGAGGAGCAACGTCTTAAAGCCGAGCAACGTCGTGCAGCCCTGGAGGAACGGCAGCGGCAGAAGCTCGAGAAAAACAAGGTGCGGCATGGGTCTCCATGAATCCGTGTACACGTGTGCTCACTGTCTGCATACTGGTGCAGTGTGTATGCATATCCATGTTCACGGCTCTGCATTATCTGTGTCTACATGGTCCTATTTGTGTTCACATCTACAGTTGTGTCCCTGTGTTAGAATATCTGGGTACCTGTGCAACTGCAGGCACATTTGCTTCTGAATGTGCCACTGTAGGCCCCTGTAACTGTTTACTGTCAGTACCTGTGTTCGTCCGTGTGCCCCATGCATCTGTGTGTGTGTCTGCAGGTATGTGTCTGTGTATGTATCTGCAGGTATGCGTCTGTGTGAGCGTGCCTAGCTCTGTCATGTGGGTAAAGCCCTAGCTTGAGTGCTGGTGAGGAAATGAAGGAAATGGCCACCTGGCCCTACCTGGGGGGCCTCAGGCTAGAGGGAACACATAGCCCCAAGGTCAGGACCCTCAGTGCCTGAGATACGGCCTTGCCTGGCAGCCCCAGGTAGGGAGAGTCCCACCAAATCATCAGAGAAGCAACTCATACACTCAGGAAATGACTCAAGAACAGTGAAAAGCTCCCCAAGAACAAGTCAAAAGGGATCTTGGTCCTTAATCATAGCAAGGATTTAGTAACCTTGGATACCTGCAATGAGTCAGGAAAAGACTCGGAGGGAAGGGAGTGGGGGAGGCATTGACACAGGAGGAAGAAGGGCCTCTATCCCAAATTCAATGAATGTTTTCAGTCCACATCTCTCTTCTCCCCACCTTCCCCCAGGAGCGCTATGAAGCAGCCATCCAACGGTCAGTGAAGAAGACGTGGGCTGAAATCCGGCAGCAGCGCTGGTCCTGGGCAGGGGCCCTGCACCACAGCTCTCCAGGACATAAGACCAGTGAGTAGGCTGGAGGGGCTGGGGAGTGGGTGGGCAAGGCTGGGATGGCAAGTAAAGGAAGGGAACAACTTCCCTACAAAGAGCTGGTGGCTCCCTGCAGCAGGTGTGCCTTGCTTTATGTGACTTGTGTCTTCTAGAATGGTCCGTAAGCCAAACTGTCCCTTTCCAAGGACTTCCACTATCAAATCAGAGATGGATTCTCTCCATTTGGTTTGCTCTTCAAACCTCTGTCATTTTAGGATTAGCCTTCTTTGCGCCTGTCAATTATTATTAGTTGTTGATACATAAAAGACTTTAATGCCCTACAGACACTGGATCTTAAAGAAACTGTCACTCCTTGTCTCAGAAGGTAGATTTTTGTCTCTGAGTTTTCTCCGCGTAGGGCCACCATGGATTTTGGTCTGATTCTTTGCTGGCATGTATGTACCACTGTGCTTGGATGTCTTTATGCAATGGCAAGTTTCAGTATTTCTAGCTGTGTATCTTCGGTGTATGTGCTCCTGGAACCGTGCATTGTGTGTCTTAATATGTGTTTGCCTTGGCGTGTTTGTGGCCTTGTGTACCTCAGTGAGGGCTCCTAAGTCAAGACAGACTTGGGTTCCAGCTCTGGCACTTGCAGCACGACCTTTAACTTCTTGAAGTCTCACTTTCTTCATCTATAAACTGGGGATAATGCTACTACTTGCCCCTGAGGTGGTAGATAGATGTTTGAAGGATCAAATGAGGTCACATGTGTGTGGTGTCCCACACAGTACCTGGCACACGGTAAGCATCAACAAATGTGAGCTGCTACAAATGTCATGATGAGGTTGCTTCGATGTGTTTGTGGCTTGTGTGCATCTGGGTCTGACACACTATCTGTTAGTGTTTGTGTCTCTGTCCCTGTGCATGTCTGCACACATGTGTGCATGCCAAAGTATCTGCCACTCTATATGCCTGTATCTGCATGTCTTTTTGTGATTCTGGATGAATACGTGGATTTGTGCAAGTGACTGTGACTGTGTAGGTCCTGTTTAGGAGCGTTTTTGCATTTATCCCAGTACATGGGTGTTGTATCCGTAACGCGTTGGCTGGGCAGGGTCAGCAAGTGCCAGTGCTGGGGGGTTATGGGGAGGTTGCAGTACCCAGCCATAAGGAATGGCTTCCTTGGTCTGGCCAGGAAAGCTGTAGTTTCTCTAGTTTTACTCATCTCCCCCCTTTGTTTCTTCTCCGTCGGCTCCCCCAAGCCAGGTTGTCTCTGGTCACCTACCTGCCACCCTCCCTCTCCCAGGGCCAAGGCTGCCTCCTGCTCCTCATCCTAGCCTGCCCACTCCTCCCTCTCCCACCCTGCCCTCGGAGCATCCTGCATGGAAGGCCTCGGTGCCCCCCACTGGCTCCTGCCTGGCCCGGCCCTAATGCCGTGTCTTTTCCCCTCCAGGTGGGAGCAGGTGCTCCGTGTCGGCAGTTAACCTGCCCAAACACGTGGACTCTATAATCAACAAGCGGCTCTCAAAGTCCTCTGCCACGCTCTGGAACTCCCCCAGTAGAAGTAAGAGAAGGCCCAGCCCTTCCCCCTCCAGAGCCCCTTGTAGCTCCCACCAAGTTTCCTCCAGAGCTCAGCAAGAACACCAGGTCCCTGGAGCCCTCACATACTCCAGGTCCCCATCCCCACTCTACCTTACCCAGGGCTCTGTGCCCCTCGGGGGAGCCGGCATATGGGTCTGGACCCTGAGGACAGAGGTTGCCCTGTAGGAGAGGAGAAGGGAGACAAAGCACAATGCCTCAGAGGGCAGGAAGTCTGGCAGGGGCCTCAAGAGCAAGTTGGAGGTGGTGGCTGGGGGTGGGGACAGGCAGGCAGCCTTTTCTGCAACCACAGCCAGCTGGCCTGGCCAACCTTAGCCAGGTGGCATTGTCCCCATGTGTCAGACTGGCCTGGGTGCTGTGGGATGGAGGGGTCCCTCATTCTGGCTTTACCCTAAAGGGCCCATGCAATCCTGCCCTCTCTGCCTTCAGAGCCCCAGCCATGGGCTTGGCTGGTTCCAGAGTTGAGCCAACCAAGGTGGCATAGCCCCTGCATTCCCACCATGCCCTGGTGCTCATATGTGAAGGAGCCATGGTGGGAGTTATTTATAAGTTTCTCTTGCATTTGTTTGGTTGCTTTGTTGCCTAGCAACCAAATCAGCTGCTGTACCAACCCCACCTGACTGAGGCTTAAAAATAGCCCAGCAGCTGAGGGGACAGAGCAGGGTGGCCTAGGGCAGGCAGGCACCCTAGCAGCCTCTCCTTGGCACAGGACTGCTAAAAGCTGGGTCACAGGAGCACAACGACCCTCACTGTCCCAAATCCATGGGACAGCTTCAGCTGGGTCAGCCCTCTGAGAGCAGGAGGGGCAAGACCTTACACTGGGACATGGCAGAGGGCAATTGGGTCTTCTTCCAATCCTGGATGGCTCCTTCCTATATGCGCGGTTCAGGGCCCTTTCACCTGGGGACCGTTGTAGGCAGGGACCCTCATCTGATGCAGGATGTTGCCCTGGGAAGTGTCTGGTTGCCTGGGTCTGCAGTGGAAGTCCAGATCGTAGGGAGGACAAGTGTGGCCCCGGTGTGATTGTGGGGAGAGGCCTCCCGGGTGAGCAGCCTTGGCCTTGGCATGGGGATGGTGCCTGGTCTGCCCCCATGCCTCTCCCTGCCTCCTGCGGCCCCCACAGTGACCGGCTTCGCCTGGCCTTCTACCCCCAGATCGCAGCCTGCAGCTGAGCGCATGGGAGAGCAGCATCGTGGATCGTCTGATGACGCCCACCCTCTCCTTCCTTGCTCGGAGTCGCAGCGCGGTCACACTGCCCCGCAACGGCCGGGACCAGGGTAGGGGCTGCGACCCTGGGAGAGGCCCTACGT